ATGGTGATGATGGTGGCGACGATGATGGTGGCGACGATGATGATGGTAGTGAAGGTAGTGATGGTGATAATGGTGATGATGGTGGCGACGATGATGATGACGATGGTGATGATGATGGTGATGATGATGGTGATGATGATGATGATGATGGTGATGATGATGATGATGGTGATGATGATGGTGATGATGGTGGCGACGATGATGATGATGATGGTGGCGACGATGATGATGGTAGTGATGGTAGTGATGGTAGTGATGGTGATAATGGTGATGATGGTGGCGACGATGATGATGATGGTGATGATGATGGTGATGATGATACGATACTGTCGTCTTCATTACAGCAGTCAATCGTGCGATTAATAGACATGTTCCTGTTTCTCATTTGAACAGGTCAAAGTGTTCGTTTGTCTAGAAATCTTTACAGTCCTTCACGAGAAAATGCATCCAAACTTTGTTATCCAGAGGGGTACGTATGGAAAAGGACCACGCCCATTTATATGTTAATTACAGGTGAGTATATAATGGTTAAAATCTAACCGCCATATCCATACAAATACTACAAACATGGCAACAAACATAGAGTATGGCGTGCTCGACTGGTGACGCGCACTCTTTCCCACGTCCTCTTTAAATGTACAAGTCTACTTTCCCTGACCGAAAATCCCTCTTTTTAAGAATGATTAATTTATGATTTCTTTTCTTTTAGTAATGAATTATGGATTCTGGATAAAAGATTTGATATCCCAACTCTCACGGGTGAGTCGGCACTGTTTAATAACAGCGGCCGTATTTCGGTTTTATTGGTCGGTTTCATTTGTCATAACTGACTGGACAGACCCAAAGGGAATTGCATCATTTCATTACTACTCAGTCTGAGGAATCGATTTCCAAATTTTCTCAATAAGTACATCGCAAACTTTAAAACTTACTGCAAAATCCTGTTCGTTTGTTTTTCTTCATCCCAGCAAACATTGATATACCTAATTGCAAAAACATTGTCATAGAGAAATGTGACAAACAAACAAAACAAACAAACAAACGGCAAACAAGCAAAAAGCTCCAATGTTTTCTTTTCTTTTTCTGTTTTTGACAATATAATTAGACGTATATAATCTCTTTTGCAGTTTTACAAGGAAGGAATCGATCGTAACATTTATCTAATGGTCACAGACTTTAACAGCACAGATGTCAATCTAACAGAAGTACTGGATAACAGTGATATTAGAACAAGGTATTTAATACAAAGGAATTATGAAAACAAAGAAATCAGAGACTAACCGAAATACTTGCATGATTTGCCACATCTACCAGTAGAACCACTCCTGGTTAAACAGCAAAGTTGAATCTCATTTAAAATACGTTGTGTTTAGGTATACCATAATARAAAAAAGTGGACCATTTTGGAAGACACATGGTTTAAATGCAGCTGCTGCCTTAGTCAAGGTATTTACATTTCTGTTTGATGTTTTAAAATAGTTAAATGTTGTCATGTTCGTGGTGTATTATAAACTGAACACAAATATCACATCTGATGTAAATAATGGTTGTTATTATCCAGGATCCAGACAGCATTGTATTTACCATGGACCTTCATTTAAAACTTCCAACAAGTTTATTCGACGCCATTCGAAAGGTTTGCATGTTCTTGTCTTTTTGTAGTAAAGTTCTCGCTACTACTTATTTAAATCTGCTAATCATTATCTCTGCTCTTATAAGTATTACCGAGGTATGTATAATATCAGGACTATATCTGTACATAGACCAGGTTTATATAGATATACCTTGAATTCCTAAGGATGACACTTAAGTTTTCATTGTTATTCTCCAAGGGCTTTATATCTCATATTTCCCTGACATTACGAATTCAAGGTTATATCTATATAAACCTGGTCTATGTACAGATATAGTCCTGATATATACATACCTCGGTATTAGGAGATTGCAATTAGAATTTTTCCTGAGACCCCGAAATCATTTTTTGCCATAGAAAAGTCTATGGATAACACCACTGTTGGATTCGAATCCTTTCCCTTCCACACACAATGACACGTCTTAAACCGCTATGATACAGAGTAAACCGATACAGGCTTTTCGTTTCTACTTTCATGATATGTTAACTCTCTTTTGAAACGTACTCTTCGGAATAACGTCCATTCGGGAATTTCCGTCATCGCTCGAGATTAAACAGTGGGGTCTACTTGAACCACGTCTTGAGTSTGCCGTTAGTTGCCGTTTGTGAACGAAACTGGCATGTCAAATTCATTTGAGTTTTATTCTACAGCACACGATCCAAGGAAAGACAATCTTCACTCCAAAAGTTGTCAGACTGGAGTGTGGCTATTCTCCTAAACATCCACAAGGCCTTTGGGAAGCCTGGGGGTACGGCCTACTTGCTGCGTACAAATCAGATTGGGACAGGATTGGTGGGATGGACGAGCAACAATTTAGATACAAATGGGGCGGAGAAGATAATGAGATAATGGACAGGTAATCATCCAAAAGCTTGTAAAAAGCACTATAATTTAGATAACTGATGGATCATCTCCCGGTATAGTATAAATATAGCTACACCAATTGTCAAATCGAACCCAATTAATCGATGAAAWTTATAATCYCAATATTTCATCAACAGAGCTATAAATACTAAACTAGACGTTGAGAGATTATGCCTTCCAAAGTTGTACCATTTTTTTCATCCCAAAGATCAAGAATGGTATGAGAATACAAACGCTAAAAGAAATATGTAATTATATTAGCTGAAATTAAGTTTTATTGCATTTGAAAGTCGTTGTTTTTGTTTGAATGAAGCAAGTGTCGAGMATCAAGAACAGATCCAGGGGTTCATTAGGGTGACAGAACTAAAAGAGGAATAAATATGAATGTGACTGATCCCACGAGTTAATATGGCAAAACATTTGCTCTAGGACCAGTACTTTGATTAAAATTCAACAATAATATAAAGAATGCAAAGATTTTTTATCATTTTAAACAATCTATTAGAACATAAGGTTTAGCGAATTTATTTTTAAACGGGATAATTGTATTAAATGAATTTATGTAATTATTACAGCAATGAGACAATGCACATATTGTAAAGATATTTATTGTATTCAGAGATGTTAGAGTGCTTTCAGTACAGAGAACTAGTAAAAACCCGTGAAATAGGTATTACATTTATTCCATTATTTTCTTTTGTGTGTATTTGACTATCATACTTTAATAGTCAAGGTTTGTTTCACGCGTTTAATGGCTTCACTCTAAAAGTGTAAAAAAAACATAAATACTGTTTTTTACTATTTTATGCTAATTCTTTTGTTTGCTTGTGTTCAACTAGCACAATCTTGTACAATTTAGTAATTAGTGTTTCACGCTTTTACTAAAAGCACTCTATGGGATCGAGTATAAGTATTATATATGTTTTACATTATTAAATCTTTAGGGTATCTAGGGGAGGGAATAATATAAATGTTTACATATGTCTAAATTCTAGAATGGATATATATTCTTGACACATTAACAAAGACAACCAAAAGGCATCGTTCATCAGAAAGAAATCTTATTTTCTATCTATTCATTATTTTTTCTTGAGTTCGTTACCTCAAGTTTGTAATGTTCTGGATRCCCACACCTATCCATATTATTACAAATTTGATATTTTCTTTCTCCATTTGACCTAAACAACGCTTTTCAATTCCTCATTGTCAAGCCTTTTGAGTATTTGAATACATGTATGTAGGCATCTTATAAGGTGAAAACCACCTGAAACAAGACAAAAAAGGTCTTCTCAATTAACTTTAATTGTTACTCTGTCTGAAGTCTTGTCTAGAGGTAATTCTTCGTTTTCATTATACATCACAGCGGCCATTTTGGATGAACTTCAACAAAGGATTTCTCATTAGTATCTATTGTTCATTCCTCCAACATGGCTACCGGTCTTTAATCTTTTGAATTTCATGGGAATTAAAACGATCAATAGAGTGTGTTGATATAAAAGTAAATCCATTTCATTCCATATGACATATTCAAGCATGTAGGAAAAATCCCTTCGGTCATGGACGCGAGTGAGATTTGTTTTAGTATGAGCTCTGTGTGGACTAAAATATGACAGACATAGACAGAAAGGGATTTGCACAATCAACATATAACAGTACATACACCTTGCAGCCCATGTATACATACTTCAGCTGAAGTTTAATTCATAGGCGTTTCTGACATTCTTAAAGGAACTGGTGCCGACTGAAGCAACAAGAAACGGATTCAAAGACAAGAGCATACTACAATTAGCAAGTTCTCTGAGCACATTCGGACTAAAAAGTACGGAGTGGCAAAGTGTTTAAATCTCGAAAAAATGACAAAGAATGGATGTGACTTCAGAGCAGAATCCCCCAAACCATACATTATACATTCTTTCTAATTTTCGCAAATTTTAAAACATTGTCAGTAGTTGGATATTGCGTCAAAATAAGACTAATTGTACTGAAGGTCCTTTAAAATGACAATTGGCAGAAAATGTTGGATTTTTTTGAAATCAGGTTATGAGGTCACTGGCTACTTTTAAGCGATGTTATTGACGGGATCCCTGTTCATTAATCCCTCGAGGGGTACAAAAGGATGAGCGTTAAGGGAGTAGTTACCTTTATACGGTCCGCCTTTAAATGAATGAGTAACCTCTCCACGCCTGTTGAGATAACCAAACCATTCACCATGCTTGGGATCTGGGAACTATAAAATACATGACACACAACTAAATACATATTAGATAACAATTGTTGACTAAATGAAAATAAACGATTAACATGGCAGGAAAATGCAAACGAGATACCATGTTCTCGAACAAACATACGGACAAGCGAAATWAAAAAATGAAACAACATTCTGAAATGAACAAGCGAAATAAATGGATCGATAAAAAGACAAGATGATAAAATAATGTTCACTTGTTTGCTCATGAAGTTYCTTCGTACCTTACTAAAACTGTACTCAAAACACTGGTCGAACCTTTGTARGAGCATAGTGTCTTCCGTCTGTTCGTAGGCCATYAATAAAGCTATCATAGCCTCGTTATGTACCCAGAACAGTTTCATGTCCCATTCTAATGGCACAGGAGATAATCCATCGGCATCTAAAAAGTAAAATATACCACCGTATTCCTTGTCCCAGCCAAGGTCAAAGGGACATTTAATAAACMTTTCAATGGCCGTGTGTTTTAGTTCTTGGTTCGATCTTCTTATKGCTAGTTTTAGTAGGAACCATCCAGCTTCTATAGCATGACCTGGGTTCATCAATCGACCAGTAAATCYAGAAAGCTCTTGGCCATCGATCGATACCGTTTCTAAGATGACTGAGTTGTTTCGCTGAAAAAAAAACAAAACAAAATACATATAATTGTGGTCAACTTTGATAAAAACTATATACATGTATAACGTTTTTGCTTTTTTCTGCCTTTATATATTACCTATTTCAAAAAGATTGTCGGACAAAGTGGTGAATATCTATTGTGGAATGGAGATTGCACGACCAAAAGGAGCCATGGGTTTGACTATTGGGGTATGTTAACTGATGTATACTGTAAGTAATATTACTGTGGTAATCATTGGCTCCATTGCAAACCATGAATATAAATACAAGTAGTCATCACGTGACTCATTGTTCATACTTGAATGTGTTGCAATATCTGATCTACTGCCCAGTTYTCCTCGGTCATRTAGTGCTKTCTTGTATCGTTGTCATGACCACAGACCTCGTCTATCACACATAGAACCATCATAGGYACGCTCATACTGTTCACAGYAACACGTCCTGCAAGCTTTGGTACCTCCAGCTCGGTATCGTCTTCTCGAGCCCAGAAAATGATCTTAGACAGCATTACCTTTGCTTCCTCCTGTCAAATGAAATTAGCCAGCATTGTAAGCGGTCTGCGGTTCGCCCCTAAAACCACTCGCGACAAAATTCGTTAAAGTAACGGAAGAAAGTGGGGAGGTAAAGGGGTTTCCACGACCTTATACTTCTCGATTCCAGTAGCCCTTCCCAGTTCTGCCATTGCCATAGCATAGAAACATTCAGTGAACAGTTTTCGTTGCAGTTTGATTGGTTTGCCATCAGCAGTAACTTGAAAATAGCAGCGATAATCCTCTTTTCTTAAAAAATACTTCATCAAAAAATCTCCACCTATGACACAAAACAGAAAAAGGGAACCAGGTTAAGAAAAAGCTTGATACTACAATGATGAAGTATATAATTTGTATAAATTCCGTGTATTTACTAAATGAATTACTCCCCGCTGCTCCCCGGACTCACGGATTCATATACCTGCCTTGGCAGCCTTAAGTATGTCTTCTTTCTTGTATTCAACACTTTCGTTGTATAATTTACAATATGTCCACACCTTAATATAGACATTATTAATAAAGATATATATATTTGTCAATTCAAAGGGCATCGGTCGCGCACATATACGAGCGTGCACGCCTTGTGTTAAAAAAYATTCGGCACTGGCTCGTGATTTAGACAAGAAATCAGGTTGTGTGAAGGAAAACCTTGTTTATTCTAACCTGTCTTCCCACCATCCATCCATACTTATCAGTATCGTAAAGCTGACCATCTTGACCAAGACAAGWGAAGAAACCTCTGCAAACAGGCAAYCAAAGGTAAAAAAGGAAACAGTTAAACTTTTCATTTTATTTTCGATACTTTTACCCGTTAATTTCGTCATGAGAATGCTTCATCCAGAAGTCCACTACACGTCTAAGTTCTTCTTCCATTTTTACAATGTAATATTTTATCTTSTCGGTCGTAAGACCAGCAGCAGTTTTCATTGCTGGAGTTTAAAACATAGTGATATTTTTATTRATCGGCCACACATTCAGTCAACCGATCTATAGGTCTTTTGAATAAAACGATCACACTAGCTAAATCTAAGTGAGTTATAGCCATCCAGCATGGTGGATCATGGTGGATTTAGTACCGTGTGACCGTTTCATGCAAAAGGCCTATTGTGCAGCCAAATAAACTTTCCCATTTCTTTTAAAGCAACCACCCTCWACTTAACGGCCATTTCGGAATGTCCCGAGTTGTTCCGGTTAATTGAGGTCACTAAACAATTGACTAAATCTCAGTTGAGGGGGGAGAGATTATGCCGGTCTTCTGGGTAGATAGTGAAGGTCAAAATGTTCGCAATCGAAAGAACAAATTCAAAACTACTTAGTCCTTGGATAGCCCTAGGTTAGATTTTGGGTTAGGTATAGCTTTGAAAATTGTGATTTAGTCTTGACTGTCGGACACGTWACTATTTGAATAAAAACTACCGGGTATATAAGCTCATATAGTCATAGCGTCCGCCACTAGGAAAAAAATATCGGTCACTGATAGTTGAGCTTTGCTAAGATCTTCTTGATGGCTTGATCTTAAACGCAGACACCAGAGTAACAACTGTTACTTACCATCCATTATTATCCTTCACTTTACGACGTGAATTGTATCAATAAGTAAGATGAATAGGAAGCGATATGTTGTACCAGGAACGAGTTGTCATCTGTAGACCGTCATTTGTGATTGCGTGACATTTTCTCGATATCTCAAGAAATCTCTTTTTATCGTCACGCAACGTACACGMGTTACTTTTGTTACCTTTCCCGTTTTTYCCCCTCGCTCATTTATTTCCTTAAGTCAATAACTACATTGTTTAATGAATAAAAAGGGTGTAGACAGCCAGTACGACAATGTTTTCATCGTGAAATCTTTAACCCTAAACAGTAAACCGGCACACCAGGATTTGACTTCAGAAATTAAGGGGGGAGGAGGACAGTCAAAAGAACCCCGATAAAATAAGCGTTGKTTGTTACAATAATTAGTTGAAACATTTGTTTTGATGTATGATGAATCATTTCAGAGGGGGGAGCAAGGCGATACGAATTCAGGGGATTCGCCACCCCATCATGGGTGGAGGGGATAAAGACAGAGAGAGTGAGAAAGACAACTATTRGTAATTCAATAAAGTTTAATTCAGGTAACGATTAACGATTTCTGACATTCTACATTCTGGCGTCCTCATACCAGTCTTGATCTCTACGATGAAAATAATGGTAAAACTTTGGAAGACATAATCTCTCGACGTCTAGTTTGGCTTTTAGGACTCTGTTGATGAAATATTGGGATTATGAATTACATCGATTAATTGGGTTCGAATTGCTAATTGATGCAGCTATATTTGATAATATACCGCGGGATGATCTATCATTTTTGATGCTTTTTTACAAGCTTTTGGATGATTACCTGTCCATAATTTCAACATCTTCTCCGCCCCATTTRTATCTAAATTGTTGCTCGTCCATTCCACCAATCCTGTCCCAGTCTGATTTGTAAACAGCGAACATTCCGTACCCAAAGTTCTCCCAGCCCGCGAGCGAGTATTTTGGAGAAAATCCACATTTCAGTTTGGTAAGTTTTGGAGTGAAGACTGTTTTTCCTTGAATTGTGTGCTGTTGAATAAAACTTAAAATTTAATTGTTATGAAATAGATTTTATTAACCTCAACAATCTATCGACATTGACTTTCTACAGTTTGTTAAACGTGAGCTTTTCTCTTATTAAAGACTTCAAAAATGGTAGTACCTTTATAGGGTCTGGAATCATGCAGAATTAATTTATSCGTACCTTTTAGAGTTATTTTTCAATTCGTCCGTCGAGCATAACTACCAACTTTTATAAGGGAGAACATACAAACCTTTCGAATGGCGTCGAATAAACTTGCTGGAAGTTTTAAATGAAGGTCCATGGTAAATACAATGCTGTCTGGATCCTGGRTAATAACAACCATTATTCATAACATCAGATGTGATCTTTGTGTTCAGTTTATTRTAATATGATTGAATAAAATTGTGCAATTTGATTGGCTTTGAGGAGTAGTATTTATCCTTAATATTGGTATTTCAAATTGCACAATTTTATTCAATAATTTTATAAACAAATCATAGCATGTTTTGTACGTGGAACTTGGAATAAATACCACTTGTGATATTTCAAAATTGTCACAAATTTCACTCGCTTCGTTCGTGAAATTTTGTTCGACAATTTTGAAATATCACCCGTGGCATTTATCCCGAATACCACTACAAAACATGCTATAACCTATACTAATACACCACGAACATGACAACATTTAACTATTCATTAAAACATCAAACAGAAATGTAAATACCTTGACTAAGGCAGCAGCTGCATTTAAACCATGTGTCTTCCAAAATGGTCCACTTTTTTCTATTATGGTATACCTAAACACAACGTATTTGAAATGAGATTCAACTTTGCTGTTGTACCAGGAGTGGTTCTACTGGTAGATGTGGCAAATCATGCAAGTATTTCGGTTAGTCTCTGATTTCTTTGTTTTCATAATTCCTTTGTATTAAATACCTTGTTCTAATATCACTGTTATCCAGTACTTCTGTTAGATTGACATCTGTGCTGTTAAAGTCTGTGACCATTAGATAAAAGTTACGATCGATTCCTTCCTTGTAAAACTGCAAAAGGATGTWTAAATGTTTGKTAATAAGAAATGAAACGATCAGAATGGACCCTTCCCCCACACCACTAGATGGAATTGACGRACATGAGCCATATTCCATGTTTTRATCKTGTTTYAAGAAGATKAATTATTTACTAGGCAGGTTTTTCAATGTTCTCCAGCGTGCAGGCATTTGTATATTTATGAATTACACAAAGCAACTTCGTCCTCGGTAGTTACTATATCTAGTGACATCGATTGGTCTTTCGTTGGTATCGAGTCTATTTGTGAATGTATTGTCTCTGTGTACAGTGCYACAGTAGTCCTCTATACACGCGGTTTCCCCCCTCGAACTCCATGATAATYCATGCTGACTTACTCTTGAGAGTTGTGATACCAAATCTTTTATCCAGTTTCCATAGTTCATAACTAAAARAAAATTAATCATAAATCAATCATACTCTAAAGGAGATTTTCAGTCGAGGAAATCAATTTCAAGCAGCCGGTTTGTCTTAAGATTACTTAAACTGTATCATGGCAAGTGAGCGATAGTCGACGCTCCCGAAAGAGACACATTTAAAGTGGAAATATACGAAAGAGTTAATTAAATTCGGAGCTTATCGAATGCGCCACAATAAACAGTCCTTTACGTAACAGAGTGAGCATATTTTAATGATTTTAAAAACTCTATACTCACTTGTAACTAGTAAATAAATGGGCGTGGTTCTTTTCCATACATATCCCTCTGGATAACAAAGTTTCGTTGCATTTTTTCGCGAAGGACTGTAAATATTTCTAGACAAACGAACATTTTGACCTGTTCAAATTAAAAATTTCTATTAATCGCAGAACTGACTGCTATAATGAAAACGACAAAGTAATTTCATCATCATCATCGTCTCGTAATCATCATCATCACCATCATCATCAGTGAAAGAACAGACATATAGATGCATGTTCTTTTTTGAATATGCTCACTGCAAACACAACCTCAACTTAAAATACGTCTTGTACGTACACATCCTACAAGGGAATTCTAGTTGTTTTTGAGGAAGGTTGACCTATGTGTAACGCAAGATTGACCGCGTAACGCAAGATTGACCAAAAGGTCAATGTAACTCAAGGGGACCCATTTTGACGGAGCTACAATCTTTTGTAAAATTGTGTGAAGCACCGTCTAGGATTGTCTTACTACAATAAATTGCTGCGAAATCGCCACGGATGAGGACTGGAAAACGTTTGCAACCTTGCAGTGAGGAAGAGATAGAGTGTTACGTTTATTTTCAATAAGATTATAGCTCCACCCTAATGGAATCGTGTACCGAAATATGAGATAAACATAATTCTGTGACTTCTATCATCAAATAACCACATATAATCAGATTACCGTTTTCTCGATCTTTAAGGTCCTATAAACAAGAATCAAACCGTCAAAAAAGGATTAGAAATTATTTTGTATTGCTTCGACTGTTCGATAATTGCAATTAGCTTGTTGCTTTTACGTACCAGCTCCATAAAGTAGCGAACACCGCCGTCAGGATCATACTTGGCTTCCATATGAGCGATTCGGTTCAGCTCGAATCTGTTTCTAAAARAGAAACAGTTATAAACAAAACAGTTACAACTATTAAAAACACTCGCAGTTGCAAGAATGATTTCATTGACATGGAAAGACATTTGGGTAATGGACAGTATTCAGTGGGGTATTTTTGGTACTAGCATAATTTTAGAACAAACCTTGCTTGGACTTTTAAAGCCTTTAAATAGCTTGAAACAACATTTTTGGCCTCCTGTAAAAGAATTMAGAATAGAWTYAACATCCTCCCGTTCTAAGGTGATTAGATCGAATAATTTTCTACAATACCTCTTCTGGAATAAAGCGATTGCCTTTGCTTATCAAACCTACGACATCCATGTAATACCATGTGTCATCATTGGGATAAACCAAGCTCTTCACAATCTGAAATTCATCAATAGTTAACCAATAATTAATGTTAATCTTTCTCCGCTATCAGGGGCCCTAAAACTTACTATAASATGAGATCCGAATTGCTTGGTCACATTTCTTGATAGATACTTCGGTTGGTATGGGCAAGTAGGAAGAGTATTTTCCACCTTCGTGTCGTTAAGTACTGGAGCTGCCCGAAAGAAAATAAATAAGTTTTGATTACTTTCGTTAGTAAAGCATTCRCAACAATGTATTTGTGATAGGTTTATTTACCCTTTAAGAAAAAGTCATCCACTTCATCGGGATTCTCAAACTTCATGAACTGAAAAATCGACATCATATTGAATCTAGTTTGTAAACGCTTATTGCCTTGCGACCAATTTTTATGATGGGTCGCCCTGTCCCCCCCCCCACTCCCCCACACAGACAGCCCGAAACAAAATGGTACAAAATTTAAGGTTACACCATCGTAGGTAAAAGCGAAGTGGATATAGGATAATAGCATAATTATAAATCATATTTGCYTAAGTTTGTAGATCATTACAATTACTAACTTTAGTATATCTGATGTTCAGTCCAGGAACGTTGTTCATCAAACATTCTTGTCTGTCCATACTGGCATCAGAAGATGTTTCATCTAATAGGAAAATCAAAAATGAAAGATAACTGCTTCACAAATGGCCGAAAAAATTAAAGGAGATAAACCTTGAAAACTCATTGTGTATTCAAGACAGAGCAACAATTCGTTAAATCCCTGCAATTCATTAGGTTGTTGCAGTTCGCTACTAAAACCCGGCCGTTTAGCACACCAGACACGTGCAGCATTGCGCTCAAATTTCAAATTGATACAACATGGAACATGACCGTAGAAGTGCTAAGATTTGATTGGATAACGGCGTAATCGGCAGTGTCTACGCTTTACTACTGTCAAATTGGTCAGGTTTATACAAGTGATTTCACAACACATTATAAACAAGYTGTAAGAATAACTTACCAATATACTGTGACAAGWATCTTGAGCCAATAACTTGTGTTTCATTACTATCTGGTAACCTCCACTTTTACGATACAATTAAAGTACAATTACAATCATCGACGATGCTACATCAATTATTTCTAGTTTTTGATTTAAGTAGTAACAACGTTTTCTATAATAAAGCGGATCATTTTGTGATACATACCGCTACTTGTAGATGGTCATATGGCCATTTTTTCTTCTGGTAAACATCGAAAAAGTACGCTTTACCTTCAATAAGGCTGAAATAAAACGAGTTTTTTGATCAAACGGCTTATTAAAATAATTCTGGTTTATGTTGACGGAATTATTCTCAGTTTCATCGAGATTATGTCGTTAAAACATGCACACCAAAGTTACTACAATTACGACTTAGAGTGCAAAAACTACAAACATGAAAAAGTACCAACCAAATAATACTAAATTGAACAATATAGTGTAGATTATACAATGGAAAACAAAGAAAATCGCAAAGTTCAGTACAATATTTCAATCATGCACAGAAGTACATAACCAGAAGTGTCCATCTCGCTTATAATATCAACACCATCAGATGTCCCGATAATCTATTTTTAGACAACCAATCACAACGCGCGCACATATTACACGGTACATGATTGGTCCTTGTTGATCTACTTCAAAAGAGGACAAGAAAAAGAGAAATGTAGTCGATGGAGGCGAACGAAGTGAGGAAGCTTGCATTATGGGAATTTTACACCTTTTGCTGAACAGCCATTTCTGAATTTGATAAAAAAACATTCTTTACTATATGAGCAATGTAGCGAGAATGGTTATGTACTTCTGTCATGAATGATTTTAGTGTTTGCACTCTAATATGAGATGTGCGTAATGCATACCTTATATTCTCTGACCGCTGGGAAGATAGCTTTGAAAATTCACCTTCACCAGAACTTGCTCCATATATACTAGATGCCTTGAAAATTATAAAACATGCAYAGTAATAAATCTACTGTATGCTAAATCTTTTGTTTTCTATAGTCTTATCAGCACTATTCCCCATGTAGTAGTAATACAAGCTGTTGCAAAGATATGTTTGCATTCTATAACAACTTCTCGCAACCAATTYACAATACGTGTTATATTGATACATAATTTTTATAGTCAGTCAGAGTGTTAATATATATTGGTACATAGCTCTCCTAGCCCCAATCARAGTRCGTGTTATATTTGGTACACATACCTCTCCTAAGTATGCTATCATCTTTGTATTGATTGGATCATCGTCTGARCTGAGCCAAAGATCTGATGAGTCCTCTGAACTGATGAAAAATTGATACAAACCTACAAGAAAACGAAGATTTATACACGTGATAAATTAGCTGTCCTATTAAGATCGAGGTCGGCGTGCATGAAAACTGCGAAC